GCAGATGTCCATCAATCTCTGCAAATCTTCCTTGTTGTTGGCCATTAGCACTATATCATCTGCGTACATTAAATCTGGTAGTGCCTGACCAATAAGTTTTCCTTGTTTGACTAAAAAGAGGTTGAAGCCCAGCCCTCTAATTTTGCCTCTAATCCTTGTAGGTACATTATGAATAATAAGGGTGACAGGGGGCACCCCTGCCTAAGCCCCCGTTTTACCTCTGCAGGCTTGGATACCTGTATTTCCCACTTTATAACTACCTTGTTACCTTTATAGATATCCTTTTAAAGATTAGTGACTACATCTTCCACGCCTAGTGTGTCCAGTATTACCCCCAATTTCTTTAGAACCACGCTATCGTATGCTCCCTTGATATCCGAAAATGCTAGCCACAGGGACCTGTGTCTTTCTTTTCTGCTATTTCGATGCACTGCGTCAGTGAGAACAGATTGCCTTCCAACCTCCTGTGTTTCCGAAACCCATTCTGCAGTTCCCCCAGCACCCCCTCATCTTCTATCCATGCCTGCAGTCTTTCCTTTATAATCTGCATCGCCAGCCTGTAGACCACCGATGTCACTGTTATAGGACGGTAGTGTTTTATGTGAGCTTTGTCCCCCTTCTCTTTAATAGATCATGCTACTCCTGCTAAGTTTCCATCCATCGGGAACTTCACCATCGAGTATTATTTTGCTCACTGCCTCTCTCAAAGCCTGCTTAGACTTCGGACCTAATGTCTTTATCAGCCTAATTGGAATGCTATCTGGGCCTATTGATGTACTACAAGGAACCCTTTTCTCAGCCCTTTCCCACTCTCGTTGTGAAAATGGAGCCATTGCCCCACTTGATTCGTCCTTGTCTATTGTGGTGCATAAAGTACTTCTTTGTTGAAATTTTTCTGTCACCCTTGCTCTTATATATTCCATAGCTTCGTCCCCTTCGAGCCTGGCACCTGGGGCTGTAGTTATAAAACTCTGATCTAGGCTCGTCTCATTTCTTAGGGAGTATAGATGGTTCCAAAATTTCGCAGCTGCCTTTCTATCTTTTTTATGTGCTCTGCTAGCCACTAAGCTCCCTTTTTTCTAATCTTTTCATTGATCAGAAGAGACGCAGCCCTTCTACAGCTTAGAAAGATTTCCCATTTTCTTTCAACATCATCTGTCGGTTCACCCCGCTGCTTAGCATGTCTGTGTTCCCTAGAGGCTTCCTGACGTTATGCTATGGCTCTCTTAACTTCCTCACCCCACCAACTTTTGGGTTTGTGTCTTATTTTCAGGGGTGACTTGTTACGCGTCTTAGCAAGCTCTAGCTCAAAGAGTCTAAATAAATTCGTGTATGTCCACACTGTCTCATTATCCTCCGTGATTACTTTCTCAATTTGTTTAGTGGCTATTTCAATTTGCCTTTCTGAATAAAAAGTTTCCTGTAGTTGCTCATCTTGTCTCCTTCCCACTTTCACTGCTCCTTTAAAACTTAGCTTGATACGTTTCTGATCACTGCCGAGACTTTTGGAGCCACCTTCATCAATGTGCATTCCCCTGAGCTTATCATACATCCTACGTGACATCAGTGCATAATCTATCGTCGACTGTAGCCTTCCTACCTCCCATGTTATTTGCCCTTCACACTTCTCGGTACTGTTGCAAATGATTAAATCAAGCCTTTCACACATATCCCTGATCATTTTGCCTGTCGGGTCGGTATACCCATCTATATCTTCTATGTGCGCATTCATGTCTCCTAGTATAATTATCTCGCACTCTCTTCCTAACTCCTTAATGTCCTTTGATATACACTCTGCCTGCCATTGCCTGGTTTTCCTCTCTGGCCTTTGCTCCCGTCCACAAGTACACAAAACCAAGGAGTGTCATTTGACCTGCCACTTTCCCTTTTAGCCATAAATGTTCCTTGCACTCCTGCTTGACCCTATGCCAGTCTGTACTTTTATGAATGAATGCCCCAATACCACCCTCTTTCTGCTGCCTTCTGTTCTATTACAATATTCCCACGCGTAGTCCGGATTGTTCGGAGGTTGTTCCATGTCCCTGAGATGTGTTTCTACAAAACCGTATACCATCGGCTTCTCTTCCCTTAGCTGTTCTTCTATCTCTTCCCACTTCAGCCTGTTCCTACCACCCTGCATGTTAATATACCCTATGTTTCAATTAGCTCGGCGCTCGTGGCTACGTCAATTCATGCCCCGGACTCTACCTATCTTAGACATTGGTGCCACTTTGGAATCGTATCTGTCCATAACAGCTGTCGAAGAGTCTCCCTGGTTGTTTTTCTCGTTACTAGCTATCCTGCACCCCGAAGGGCTCGCTTGCCTCCCAAAAAAGCTACTGCGCGTCCTGCAAGTCGCCAACCCACCTCATGACCTAGCCGCCCATTGAAGTGAATTCTGTATCGTTGAAAACCACCCCACCTATGCACCTTTCTGTTTATTTCCACCACCTCAAAGCCTTTCTTTCGACTCATCCGCCATAACATTTGCGTTGACAACCGCTCTTTGCAAGTTGCTATCACGCACCGGTACCTCCGGTACCGTGCATATCACTACCTGTACCTTAGGAGAAGTGGCGCACATGTCATCGACGCCTTTCGCCAGTTTGGCTGCTAGTCCTGCTGTATCTTCATTTAAGACATCGTTAAAACCGCCTGAAATTATCACGAGGTTTCGTCTATCAGCTGTAGTTTTGAGTTTTGCGCTCGCTTGCCTCATGACTGCTTCAAGCTTGCGTCCTGGGAACGCCCCTACTGCAACCCTCTTGTCACATCTTACCCTCTTTTTGATGGCTTCTGTGCATCGATTTAAATTCGAGTCCCCGGCGATTATAACATGCTGTGACTTTTCAGCTGGAGCGTCCTGCACCTAGGGGCTACTTGCACCTGTGACGCCGGCTGATTTGTCCCCTCCCAGCCCCACCACTACCTCGCTGAAGCTGGGCCTTGCGACAGTTAAACCGGCTAAACCTGTTTTTTCCAAAGTTGCTTGCTCTTCCTTCTCCACCGTTCTGGTTGCCGGTTCTCTACTGTTGTCTCCGTAGGCCGCTTCTTTGTTCAGCTTCGCTAGTGCTTCGTCGGTGGACTTCAGTCTTTCTCCCGTTGCCCTCGTTTTCTCTTGCTCTGTTGCCAACGCAGTCTCGAGCTCATCGATTCTCACCAGCAGTTCACTTTGGGCAACCATCATTTTCTCCATTTTTTCCTCGACCTCACATTGCCTACACTTCGCGTCAGCCTCTTCTCTATCCGCTTCTACGCTTGGGTGCACTTTCAAACCCGCTCCACATTCTGAACACTTTACAGTCTTTTTAACCATGTCTTTCTGACACCAATTGTCCCTATACTCGATAATTACTAAACTCGAGCCGTGCACTACGAAAAAAAAAGAAAGTCTAAGCTCTACTACAAAAATTTGCGTGTTCAATGTACGCGCACCTCCCCCATGGGGTGGCATAAGAAAAAAAAACAACAAAAAATTCAAACACACACATCTGCACTAACTAATAAGTACCTGGTGACTGGCCCCCGAAAAAGCCGTACCATCAAATAAGTGCTACGAAGATTTCAACCGCTGCCTTATAATTATAAAGACAAGCTCAAAACGTGCAAAAACACTTATCTGCGCAGTCGATCTGGAGCGCTCGAAAAACACGTCCATCCACCGTGAGGCCGCGTTGACACTCCGTGAGGCCGCGTTCACACTTTTGTAGTACAAAAAGAGTGCCAGGGGGCGCTCTTTTTGTACTACAGAGCGCCCCCTGGCGTACGGCCCCACCGAACAACATGCGATCGTAGTCGCGTGATTGTCTCTCTTTCCTTCCGTACTTCTGCCGTCAATCCTTCTTCTCTACAAGTAACGCCTTTTAGTATCGTACCATTTTAAATTTTCAGCGTATAGTAGAAGTACCGCACTCTATGGCCACTTGAAGAATTAACGAGGGCTGATTAGCACAACAGAAACGCACAAGCCATGCCATAAGGAGCTTCGCCCCTGAAAAGCTATCGAGTATTTATCTGGCTGTGACGTGATAGATTTAGAGTTTGTGCTGAGGCGTGCTGCTTGCTGCCTTATGTATATATTTCTGGCGTTCTCGCTTATCCAAATAAATCGAAGTCATCGCCCTTGTTCTGTCTTCGCTACGTCTCCGTTTTATTGCGCTGTAGAAAAATGTTGATTCCAAAGCATCTGCAAGCCAAAGCGTCCGTTTCATGATGCTTTGAAAACATATGCAGGGGTTCCTTTGATTGCGAATTTTGTCATCTGAATGATTACTTCTTGATGTATTTTTAACAAAGTTATATTACGTGCAGTAAAGCTTTTTCGAACACGACGGTCATTCATGTTCGTGCTTACAGAAATATATCACGCATGTATAGTGACGTCTCTATAGGCTGTTCTAAGTGTGACGTGGTACCGCGAAATTTCATGTTCCAGCGCTTGTCCTAATTCCTTATCTTGTGCATTTTCATTTTGTGCACTGCCCACAATAAATTTGAAGAGGCCGAGCTAGTCGGAATAGTCACAATATGAAAATGTATCTCACCGAGATAAGCCATCGAACTCATTTGCGAGTTGCTGCTTCCTTTCCGATTGCAAACCTTCTCCTGTTTTTGTCACCAGTTAGTTTATCTTCTGTGTGCATTATCGGTCCAGCAGGGCACTGACACTAAATTTGTGAGTGTCTCTATGAATAAATGAACCAAGGCACGTACATTCCGTGGGCCAAGTGGCCCTACAAGACGTGCTTAGTCGAGGAGTAGTTGCTAGTTTTTGTGCGAGTTAACAAAAGGTTTTTTTCATGTGGCTCCAGTTGCTTAGTCGGTGACCTTACCGCGTGCGCTATTCTATATTCGGTTAGGTATGGTAGCTCATAGAAAATCGGCTTGCCTAAACAGTGATGTTCTCTTTCTTTTGCCATTTTATGGCAAAGAAAAGTGAATAGTTAATGCGATCCAGAACAACCAGCGAAAATTCTACGCACTACTTGATTCTCACTTACCATGACCATGGCTGTAAAACTCGTCTTTCTCGTTCTTGCTGTACGTCGACGGTGCATCAAGGCTACCCTGCGTAACAGAAGACAAAATGCATAAAAATTAGACGGAATTGTTCGCGGTGTTTTAAAGGGATAATATTCCGTTATGTCTGGGTTCGCAGCAATTGCAAGTGATTTAATCAGCGCTCAGCAGTATCGCGATACATGGTAGTTCAAAGATATTTTTGAACATTCGTACATATGTTCGAGATACATTGAAAACATGTATTTCTAGGACAGTAGTGAAATACAAAAACGATGCATCGATAGTATTGAGATACAATGCAGCACACGGGTATTTTGTTAGTAAGTTGTCGTAAATGAGCTGATGCTTGCATTTAAAGAGGGATGGGATAAATGTTCCTGTGCCAAGGCAAGCAAAGGCATAAGGGCGGCTGTAAGGCCGCGTTTAAAAATGGTTGCCCGACAGTTTATATTCATTTACTTTGTGTCGTAAGCTTGGTGAGGCACGTCAGCCATTGGCAGGCAGCATTGCTTTAGTTGTACATCACGATACAATGCAGCACACGGGTATTTTGTTAGTAAGTTGTCGTAAATGAGCTGATGCTTGCATTTAAAGAGGGACGGGATAAATGTTCCTGTGCCAAGGCAAACTAAGGCATAAGGGCGGCTGTAAGGCCGCGTTTAGAAATGGTTGCCCGAGAGTTTATATTCATTTACTTTGTGTCGTAAGCTTCGTGGGGCACGTCCGCCGTTGGCAGGCAGCATTGCTTTAGTTGTACTCGGTAGAAGCGTGTCCAACCGGATTTGCCGTGAACGCAGACAGTACGGCGTCAGCATCGTACCCCACATAGTTCTGCAGCGCCAGAGACGGCCAAGCGTTTCGAGTTCCTGTTAACACAGAATAAAGAAACCTTCCCCACGTGGGAAAGAAAAGGGGTGGTATTATAAACGTCATTGTGACGGCTCCTAATTGCCTCCCGGCACGAGCAGCTGACGCATCGATGGGCCTCTTCCGAGACCCAGCCCACCATAGTGACTCCTCCCATTGGTTCCGCTTAAGGCACGGCCGTGTACTGTTTGCGCACCTTGCGAAACCGCAGTGATTGCCGCGAACCTTTCATTCCGGTCCGGTGAGGTAACTGTCAGACGCGGGTGGGCTCGCGACAGGTCGGCGCCTGGGATGCCTATTGTTGAATAGGCATGTCTTCGACTGCTGCTGCGTTTGTACTGACAGGTGAGCTCGTAAGTATAACCACGTGCGGTAGTCCAGTGGTTCCTCTCACAGCGCACAGGGGACAGGCAGATTATTGCCCCGTCGTCAACAAGTTAACTTGTTACAAGGAAGCCATTCTATGGCCACCAAAGCCCAGTACGTGTAGCTCTAAGTCTAGATAATTGTGTGCCGCGGAGCTGGCCCATGCTTCAAGGAGGTTTTATAGCTTGTGGTACTTACATTTTGGTTGTTGTGTTATTTGAGATGAGGGGCATGAGCCCTTCACGTGCACGAGGCGATGTCCTCGTTACGGGTTTTTCATCGACCAAGTGTACTCTCCTATCAGCGAAAAAGCAGGTGACGATTCGCCGAGAGTTCTGTAAAAATGGAGCATCGAGGGGATAAGAAGAAGCCCTGAAGTTCCATAAAGTGTTCTGAACCGGGTTTGAGGTGTTAGGCACCGTCGACTTTTCCGAATCCCGTAGGGTCGCCCTGCAGAAGACGGTTCATTTTCAAAGTGTTTTTTTTTTGTAAAGTTCATGTCCGTACTTATGTACCTTTTCTGCAGTCTGTGAATACAAGTTTTTTTTCAGCCGCCTAGAGCTTGTCCAGCCTTTCTGCTTCATCTTCAAGTGACCAGTGAGGCGATCACCGCTACTTGAATAGCAGCAGCACGTTTCGTCTCCCACTTTGCTATACCATTTCGGATGGCGTGTCTCGAGTGCCGAGTGGTGAGAGTTGGCTTATTAAAATTGCAAAGAACCTGGATTTTCCTGGCGGCAGTGTTTTCCCCTAAAGCAACGAATGACACATGTGGTGAAGCACGCAACGCCATCAAGCACGCAGTGCTGTCGGCTTGTGTAGACGAATGTCGTTGTTTTTCAAAACTTGTTTAAAGGCACCGTGTTTCGACTGGCAAGTGAAAAGCTTGCAACCATTCTCGCAGACAACACTTTGAAACTTTGAATTCGGAAAGATTCGCTGTGTTGGAAAAATATCGTAGTGGAAGTGACCCGAAGATGGCTGTCCTTGTCGCGTATTCAGCCACCCTTTCAGCGTGTCAGGGTACATTCCACATTGAAATACAAGTGTGGAAATATCTTCTGCCGTTCCAGGCTCCTTCACCACCGGAGCTTTCCCCTCTTCTTACCGCTGATGGAAACCGGTGCTGGTAGCGTCATTGATGTTGACAGCTTTTTGGCCCAGTTAACGACGTGTTTTACTGCTTAGATAGCCCCCTGTAGGACCTTTATGCGTTGCTTGCCTTCCGTGCCCTCTTCTTTGTATGTTACCTCCTCTTCCCAATCCCACTTTTTGGCTTTTCGTTTTAGTAAATTTATTGTTAGATGCCCTTTGTCTGCATTGTCCAGCTTTATTTGTTGTCAACTTCGCAGCAACCGCTTCACCTACAGCATACTTGCTGCAGTATTTCATCGGACGCTATAAGCAGCTCTGCCTGTTCCTACGTTTGTGTCAAGAAAGCTGGCCCAAGTGACTTTGAGTGGTGGGCTGAAAGCCTTTCAAAATCAGAAAAGAGATTTTCAGGAGGCCTATGTTCAAATTGTGCAGTTTCGGCGCATTTAGCTTAATTGCACTCTGGTGACTATGGCCTGCTTAACGACCGGGGGAATCCTCAGCTGTTTGGTATGGCGCCGACCGGCCCTCATTTCTGATGACTCTGAAGGTTTAGAACCCATTTCGGCATACATACAATTGGACTGGACTTACGTATTTGGTTGCTAGTATTTTCGTTGCTAGGTGACACGACAGCCGATATCACCATGTTACAGGACGATCTGGCTGTGAAGGCGGTATTTATTCTCTTTAAACTTAATTCGTGCAAAGTGGCAAAGAGACTCTCTTGTTTTGCAAGTTTTGTGTTGTTGGGGCCTAAGAGATGCTTTGTACAACCAAAGCAGTGAGGCGGGCTAGTTGGAGTGAGTCACTTTTATTCATATTCCTAACACTAAAGAAACAGACAAAAACACAGTAGAAAGCCAATAACACCCGTACCGTTTCTTCTGTTTGTTCGTCTGGTTCTTTTTTGCGCTATATATACCAATGCAAGGGGCTGTTTACATGACAGGCTATTTGAGAAACATTGTGGCGTCAGTGACACTGCGATGATTTCTGCTCAAACATGGTTGATCCCTCTATCATAGGAATTGGTATAACACAAAAGTAAAACGTCTCCCTACAGAAGTACTTAAGTGCTCACTGAGCATTGACAGAAGAGAGCTTACACAGTGTCTGTTGGTTTTCCACAGCTAAAGCCCCGTTTTTTGTTGGAACATTCACGCTGATGCTCTTCTGTACACCTCTGCATAACGCCCATGATGAATTATTAAATATACCCATCCTTGTGGCAATAGATGCCTGTGGTAGTTGCAGTGGCTAACGGTGAGTACGGGACCAAAGTAAGCATTGTGACAGCCAGAAGGGTAGGACTGATTGACACCAATCTTGGGGTACGGTTCCCTGTTCGCAGCATGTTTGAGTTATTCAACGACATGCTCCCATTTCAGAGAAACACAACGCGCGTTATGCAGTCTTTGTTGGCCGGCTGCTATTTTGGGGGCGAAGCTCCTTAAGGCGTGGGTCTGTACACCCTCCAATGTTGTCATACGTAGCCACTGGTGGCACACACCCGCTCTAGAGCGGGTATGTGCCACAGGGGTGCGAGATGGGAGATGACAGTAGTTGGAGTGTTCACTAGATGGACGCGTGGACAGGCAGACTAGCAGATGAATGGACGCACGGACGGACGCACGGAGCGTGTATGCGCCACAGGGGGTGCGAGATGGCGGTACTTAGAGGGTTCACTAGATGGACGCACGGACGGATGGACAGACAGACTAGAAGACAGACAGACAGATGGACGGACGTACAGACGTACGAACGGATGGACGCACAAACGAACGGACAGATGGATGGATGGACTCATGGACAGACGGACGGACGCATTGATGGACGGACAGACGGATGCAAGAACGAAGGGATGGACAGAAGCATGGACGGGCTGACGAGCGCTTCACCTCGCTCATCATCATTTACTCCGTGGATATGCTGTGATTTGTTCGCGTGGCGAGCGTAAGCAGCAAAACACTAAGGGAACTTCACACTTAGCCTAAAATGGATCAAAAGTGGCAAAACTCCCGGAAACTCACTCTCTTCACAGCTTAAGCAGGCGCAAAACCACGACGTGTGGCCGCAACAACAAACAAAAAACCGCTGAAGAAACCAATTTTTCCGCCAGGCAAAAGCGGATCCGCTTTATGCTTCACAGCTTTAGCTGAAATAGCTTAAACCACGTGATCCAAACTACCACCCGGAGATTCAGCATGGCAGCAAAGGCGTCGGCAGTGGTCCGAATCGGCTCGAATAGCTAACTACGTTAGCAGCATGATGACGCCTGATGCGATCGAAAATGACGTGTTCATCCATAGCCTGGTTCGTTTTACAATTGCCGAGAGCACTATAAGTAGATGGTGCATCATCCGCGATTCCGCATGCCCCAACGTGTCTGATTTTTGTGTCAGTCGGCTGAATTCACCACCGCCGCTGTCAGTGCGTTCCCTCGTGCGTTTTCTCCTGGTGTACTTCTCAAATCAACGGTAAAAAGGTGCGAGCTGTTTATTAAAGACGATATTCTTTCTTGAGAACCTTCGACGCAAAACAATTTTGTCTGTCTGTCTGTACATTTGTTCGTTTGTCTGCTGTTAACGGTACCCTAAACGGCACCAAAGTGACGAAAACGACACTCCAAATGGCCGACCCTACCCGCAGCGCCCATCAATATTGCTCAAGATTCAGCGTTCATACTTGTGCCATTGTCATTAAAAAGTAATAATTGC